TAAGGGCAATCGCAGGTTTTGAAGGAAAAGTTGCTATGGAAGCACCTGGTGGAGAGAACATCTCGGCCCGCGGATGGGAGAGAGAGAGAAAGCCGGGCCTCGGCACTTTGGTCCTGTGCCCCGGGCACCTCCACTGTCCCGTCTGCCAGAGGCCAGCACCCGGCGGGTGGATTCCCCACGGTCCGTCCCCACGTTAATGATTCTGCAGCTTTAAGAAGGCGGTACGTGTGCGGAGTCTGGCAGGCCCCTGGGCACTTGGCCCACGCAGACGGCGGGAGAGCAGAAGGCGGGAGAACGTTCGAGGGCACAGGCGTGGAGACTGTAGGGGGCACCACACCGGACACACGGACTGGGGCCAAGCAATGAAGCATCCCGAAGGCTCAACCAAGGGGCACACTCGTATTCAACAAGCAAGGTGGGGGGGGGGGTTAGCTGAGGGTGTCCCAGCAGCAAAGTGACAAAACATGATGACGGACTCCAGCGCAAGTCACCCAGACAAAAAACTGCATTGATTCTGGCTCCAGAACACCTGGTCAAGAGAAGGTTTTACCCTGACGAAGAGGAAGGTGCCTAACGCAGGGGTCTGGGCCTTTCTGAAGGGGACACGTGCCACCACCCCCAAGCCGGGGCAGAGTGACGGCCTCTCCGACCAGCAGGCTGCCCTTCCTGCAGGGGACGTGAGCAACCCTCACTGGGGGGTGGCGGGGGGCAGGGGAGGGCAAGTGGAGTTGGGGAGAACCTGAGGACAAGCCAGCCACTGGGGGCAAGTGGGGGGGGCCACACCCCACCCACTGCTGGCGGTTAACATGTGGTCTGGATGCCAAGGGACCAGAGGGCGGGCGCCCTCACTGTCCCCGTGGCTAATGGGTCAGTGGAAGCCGAGAGCCATTCTGCCCTGGTCCGACGCAGCCTGCAAGCCCACCGCCCTCCCGGTAACTGTAAATGCAGCCCCTCAATGTTCAGTAAGCAGGTGCTGTTCCAAAGCACTGCACCCACAAAGGTCCCAGGAAAACCGTGTAGCGGGAGGCGCTCTGAGGACAGGCACAACTACAGAGGCACCATCGATGCCAACCTCGCGGGTCAGGAACCCTCCCCTCTGCTCCGCCGGGTCTGGGCTCGGGCTCCCACCCACAGGGCGGTGCCTGTTGGGGCAGAAGCTACGGAGGCCCGCAGAGGATGTGGCCGATTCCCTGCTCGGAGCTTCTCGACAGCAGGCAGGCTGCTACGGGCCCAGCCTTGCTCAGGGGGCCCTGATGACAAGGGGCAGTTTCCTGGATTGGGAATACGGTTGCTGCTCGAGGTCCGGCTCACCTTCTCTGAAGCAAAGCTCCACCGGCACACAGACCTGGCGGGTGGGAAGGGGAAGGGGAGGGGCGGAGGCTCCAAAACTGAATAGTGGAAAACCCCTCGCACTGGCAGGACCTTCTAGAAGACATCAGAAATGAAAGCAAGTCTATTACCCCGGGAATGTCAGACGGAACAGCCTTGGGAGACAGCCAGCGGGCTCTAAGCTCCCAGCCCACCCCGGCTCTTGCCTGCTGTTCCCAGACCCAGACTCTGACCCTGAACCTCCAAAGTGGCCTGGCTCCCCCAGACTCGACCTTCAAGTCCTTGGTATCACCAGCTCTGACAGGCAGAACCCTCGCCCCACCCCACTTCACTCTGCATAGCAGCCCGAGGCATAACCATCTATGAATGTGAATGCACCCTCAACATCACAGAATACAGCCTTTCCTGAGGGTTCTGAGTCTCACATGGGCTTCCACGTGGGCCGTGTGCACGGCCTTGGCCAAGCCAACGACTCTCGGCTTCACTTCCGTCCTGTGCAGGTGGGGGATGGCAGGAACACCTGCCTGCCGGGCTTGAGACCCGGGGCCACAGCTAGGGCGCAACTGGCACCTGCTGATACGGGACACGCTAACTGAGCAAGAACTCCGCTTTCCTCTCTCTCCTGGGGCAAATGCTAGGAGACTCAAACGCTGGTTGACACGCTTCTTCACGCCATCCGGGGAGCTTATGTTTCTCCGTAACGGTGCATCCCGCTTGTCAACTTGCTCCGCAGAGGAAGTCCCCTTGTTCTCGGAGTCTGCAGGCCGTCCAGGAAACACGCTCCAACTCAGGCTTTAGGTTCCGGGGACAAAGGAAGATGGACACTCTCGTCACCTAGAACCACCCTCTCCAGAGCCTATCTGTCAATCGCAATAATCATCTGCGAGAGAAGACATTCTCCTTGATAAATCCTGAAAACTGGTTGTGTCTGGGGAGCTCTCCTGCAATGCTGATTCTCCCGGAAATGCCGTTTAAGGCAGCCCCTGGTTCGTTCTGGGTTTTGCAAATCACTCGGGCCGACACCTGAGTTTTACAGTTGAAGGAACTGGGGCCCCGCAAGAAGGTGAGAACACTGGCTCTTAGTCCCGTAGAGGGGTCAGAAAGTTGGGCAAGCTCTGTCCTTCTGGAATAATCCCCAGCAGGTACGTGAACAGTTGCTGCAATTGAATTTCATCAGCTAATTAAGAAAAGCTGTTCGTTTGTGGCAGCAAAGCAGAAACAAAGGACAGAGGAGGCTGGTCCCGAGAATGATGACCTCAAACGACTTTTCCAGGAAAGGCACCTTCAACTGGGTCCTTGGATCTCCAAGGAAGGAAGCTACCCAGGTGCATATGGAAAAGGCCCATCCTCCTTAGTAGCGTTCCACACTGCTCATGGCCCCCTGGCTCTCTCTGATGTCCCACACCCAGGAATCTGGGGGTGGGGGTAGTCCATGCTTGGTCACATGCACTATTGGAGTCTGAGGCCTCACCGTCACCCTGGGTGACTCCAACCCACCAGACCCCCAGAGGAGCTGACGTGTGTCTCCACTGTCCCTAGCGCAGGCGCAGAGCAGAAGGTGCAGCAGGAACAGCAGTCAGGTAAGGGGACTCCAGGCCCAGGCCAGCCACAGCCCTTGGGGGGGGGGGGTCCCCAGGCTGGGGTCGCAGGCCTGTCTCCTCCCCACGTCACGATGAGTGGCTGGGCTAGGAATCTGTAATGACTGTCCAGCTCGCGGTCCTCGGTCTGCAAGGCCACGCGGTGGGCACCACCAGAGAGAAAGGCTCTCAAGTAGGGGAGAAATTTGAACAAAAGGAGGCAGCAGGACCAGATAATGAGCCACAATGGGACAAAGGGACGGGGCGCCAGCCCCAGGCTGAGCCCCAGGCTCACCCGCGAAACGTCAGCAGCGGCCCCTGAAGGCTGCGTGGGGTCCCTTGCAAGTCCCCAACCACACCGGGGCCACAGGAGAAGCGCCTCCGCTAGGGCGCTACGGACGGACGTGGGAACCACACGCTATCAAACCCGGGGCACCGATAGGCTGATAGAGCACGCACCTGAACGTGCCCTCCCGGCTGCGGGGACCCCGGCCAGGTGCAGCCTGGGGGTGCCCACAGGACATTCCCGGGAGTCCGCGCCTCCGGAGCGCTCCAGGCCTACTGGCATTAGACTCAAGGCCCCTTCAAACGTGTGAACTTCCAAACTCCAGATCCGGAAAATTCCCATCCCATCAAAATTGGGTTATTTGCGATCCGCTTTCTCATGAGGTCTGCGGTCTGTGCCTGACCTTTGAGAAGCAGTGGAGTGGGACACCCAAGCCCCACGAGGTGGGGGGAGGGGGTGGATTCTAGGGGCGGCACACTGCACCAACAGCCCCTAAATCACCCACTCACCTCCTCCACTTCCAAAACCCTCAAGGGCTCCCACTGCCACGGATCAAGACCCCAGTCAGCCCCGAGTTTGAAAGCGGTGATTTGTCTCCTCAAATTCCCTTTGCAGTTTTTACAAAATAATAAAAACAAGAGTTATAAAGTCACCGGAACAGTGCGAAACGCCAGGTGCCTCATCTCGGTGCTGGGGAGGGGAAGCTCGGTCCCACCCCCGACCCCGCCGGGCCAGGTGCACTTCCTAACACGGGGACGCCCCACCTTCCAGCTGTGACCCAACAGCCCTCCCTCACCGGGCAGCCCACCCTCCCCTCCCGGACCCCGGCTCCACAGGAGTCCCCACCAACTTACTTGGCGCCCTGCCCTGCCCTTTACCTCAGCAGCAGCTCCTCCGCGGCGGGTCCCCCCGAAGGGCACCCCCAGGCCCCGTTCACTAGAATGTGTCCTTGTCCTCACAGACCCCAGGCCCGCTCCCGGGGAAGAGCTTCCTCGCCAGGACTGTTCACTGCCAGACGCCCGAGCCAGATGTTGTGGCGCCGGGGCCAGGCCCCCTCCCCCAGGGCAGCAGCACCCACCCGGGATATTCTTCGGAAGCCTTAGCCAACCCTTGCCGCCTCCCCAGACTTCCGCCAGGCGCAAGACAAACACCGGGTATTTGCTGAATGGACGTTTATTATTACTGTTATTATTGGCTGCAAAGAAAGGCAGAGAGAACTTCGGAAGTGACCATCCTAGACTTGACTATGGAGACCGTGAGGGTACAAGAGGTGGCCCCTTCGCCCCTGGGGCCGAGCCTGGCCCGAGCGCCCCGGACGGTGCCGGGGCGCCACCGCCGGAGGGCGGAGCGCCCAGACCCCCGGGGGTGGGGGGGGCGCGGCGGGCGGGCAGCGGCCGCGGCCACCGGGGTGCGGGGATGGGCAGAGCGGAGGACGCGCGGCTCGCGGCCGCCTCGGGCCGCGCCGACCTCCCCGCCGCCCCCCGCGCGCCGGCGGCTCGCGCTCGCCGGACCCGGAGGCCCGCGGCCTGCGGCGGCCCCCACCCCCGCCCGACCCGCCGGCCGGAGCGCCGCGGCCCCGCGCCCGGCCCGGGGGACGGCGCGGGACCCCGGCTCCCCGAGCGGCCGTGGCGCTGGGGCCACCGAGGGGCAGGGCAGGGCCGGGGTGGCGCCCTCGGCGGGGAGCCGGCGCGTCCCCGCCCCGACCCCGGCGCCCCGGGACCCCGTCCCGCCCCATCCCTCCGTCCCCCACCCCCCTCGGCCGCGCCCCGCTCCCGCGACGCCGACACAAAGCGACGCGCGTCACCCACCTGGTCCCGCGCGGCCGGGGCTCCGGGGACCGCCGCTCGCGCTCGGCCGCGGGCGGGGCTCCGAGCGCGGCGCCCAGGCCGGGGGTCCGGCGCGGCGTGCGGGGTGCGCTGTCCGGGCCCGCGCCCGCCGGAGCCGCCCGTTATCCCCGGCCCGCCCTCCAGCGGGGCGCACCGCCGGCGGGGGCAGAGCGGGCGGCGGCGAGCGGCACAAAGACGCGGGCGCCCCGGCTCTGCCCGCGCCCCCGCCCGCCGCGCAGCGCCCCCTGCCGCCCGCCGCGCGCCCGGCCTCCGCCCTCCGCCCTCCGCCCTCCGCCCGCCCGGGGCGGCGTCTCCGCCCGCCGCGCGCCCGGGACCGCGGGGTCCCGCCTCGTTTGCGGCCGCCGGCCCCGCGGGGCAGCGCCAGCTGGCCGGGAAGGACGCGGGCGACCCCTCCGACCCCCGGCCGCGGTGACGGGAGGGCGCCGCCCCGCGGGGCCGCAGCCGCGTCCCTGCGGGCAGAGGACCCCGTGCTCCAGGCCGAGGCCCTTTCTCCGCCGGCTCGCCGACCGCCTTCCCATCCCCGCTACCTGGTGGCTCCGGCGGCCGGAGGAGAGCCTGCCCGCAGGGTCGGGGACCCGAGACCCAAGCAGAAGCAATCCACTCCCTAGTCTCGGGGCTTCTGGCTTGTTGCTGTCAAGACGGCTGAAGGCAGAGTTCCTGCGAGGTCTATTTTTGCCACTCCCTTCGGTAGCTAGAAGTTCGCCAAGTGTTAAATTATATGCCTGCCAGGCACGCATGGCTGAACAAAACTTGGTGTGTGTGCAACAATGCCTCCTTCAATGCATGCACTCGTTTCTGCAGAATTGTGGGGCACCCCACCCACCGTAGTACCTTCCTTAACAGCAGCCCCGCTACTCACTTGTGGGCTCAGAATTCTTTTTTTTTTTTTTTTTTTAATTTATTTCTGAGAGAGAGGGAGACAGTGCGAGCAGGGGAGGGGCAGAGAGAGAGGGAGACACAGAATCCAAAACAGGCTCCAGGCCCTGAGCTGTCAGCACAGAGCCCGACGCGGGGCTCGAACCCACAAACCATGTGATCACGACCTGAGGCGAAGTCCGACGCCCAACCGACTGAGCCCCCCAGGCGCCCCTGTGGGCTCAGAATTCTAATGCCTTCACCTACCACCCGCTTGCTGAAGCGGCTAGTCTCCGTGTTTCCATTGTTTGCAGCTGGAAATGCGGGTGCACGTGTCTTAGCGACCTTCCCAGGGGTTAAATGAGTCAGGTACGCACAGAGCAGTATCTCCGTAACTGATATGGCAAACCGTCAGGACAACATGTCCTTGGCTATTATTTCCCCCGTTTACCCCAAACAGTTCTACTACAAGATTCTCAACTACGTTGACTCTGTGTACAATTCATCTTCCTCTCCGGCAGACACATCTTTTTTAAAAAACATAAATCTGTCTCATCTACATTGGGAAGTTATTCTGGTATATATTTCCCCTCCTCAAAGATACGAACGGGTACTTGACTTCTGAGGTCTCTCAAATTCTTCCTAGAAATGTCGTTGATCAGGAAGAAGGCATAGTGAGATGAATCCTAACGCTTTTCCTCCAGACGCTCAGTAGGGGATGAGAATGGTTCAGCAAAGGGGCCGGAGCCTCACCGTACGTGAGGCTGTGCTGGACGCTCTGTGTGACAGGTGACAGCAATTATGGATTAGTGGTCAGCTGGATGGGTGGTTGTAAATTCACAAGGAATGGGAATGAGCCTGCCCGCTCCGAGACGCATGGCTCCGTGCTGAGATGCAGACATGAAATCAACCCCGAGAAGCCGGGAAGGAGCACGGGGGGCCGCAGGGAGAGTGTCGGAGAGCAGAACCCTGTTCTTAGCCAGGGGGTTAACAGCTAGTGAGCGTTTATGTAGTGACGTGTGTATGACTTTATTCCCACTCTCTTTGTTGATGAGGTCATCTGGGAAAGATGACATCATTGCTGATAATATAATTTGCATACAATGCATCTAGAATACAATTGTTTTCATAGAGGCTTCCCCATCAATCACCTGTTCCCCCATCCCCAGATCTCTGAACTTGTATAATATTTAGCTTGTTTCTGTGTTGACCACGGCATCTGTCATACTTCGTGTTTCAGGTATTTACTGTCTGATTGTTAGATCTTAACGTTCTGTAGAACAGTGATGAAGTCATTATTCTCTGTACTCCCCCATTGGGCCTTGGGCAGGCTAAGCACTCAATAAATAAAGAGGGAAATCATCTACTCTGAGCTGTGCCTGGGAGCACCCACCCTGGCTCCAGCAACAAGCTGCCTGGGGTCTCTCAAGGTCATTTCCACTCATCCTGCTTTGTTTTCAGTCTGATTCCTTCACAGGTCATGACTTTGGGCCATCTCCCCCAGAGGTTTGTGTTGTCAAGCCCGTTTGAAAAGATACCCATTGTTCCTAAGTGTTTGTGACTCATCATTCACTCACTGAACAAGCCTTTATGATGACCTACTGGAGGCAAGATTCTGAGCTCAATGGGGGGCTGCCTCCGTAAAAGGTCTGAAGGCTGGAGACAGGGAATTCCATCCTCAGGTTTCTGCTCTGGACACAAAATTGAGGGAAGCTCGAGATTCACACTCGTGGCTTAAAATAAAATCACTTCAGACCCCCGAGTTTGTATGACTTTGGAATCACACATTCTTGAAGTACAGAAAGTGCCCATTTCTTTATTTTTTAAAATCACTTTCGATGCCACGCCTTGTTAATAAGAACGTTGCCAGCAACCAAATGCCAGGTGTTGTTCTGACTCTCTTGGCCGGTATGCACAAGAATCAGGAGGATTTCACGGTGCTGAGAATACAAGGTGTCACCCACATTCATCCTCAGCACGCAGCCAGGTCCACTGACAGCCACCCCCTAGCCACGCTGTCCCTTTTGAGTGGGCTGGCCACTGTTTCTCTTCCACGGAGTCAGCTCCCTAGGTGGCCCAAGTGGCTTGAGAGGGATAGGGCAATGCTAGACCCCTTCCTGCCACTCTCAGGGCTTCTTGGGAAAGCCCCCACACACATCCCGGGTCAGGTTCCAGCCTCCCACCTCTCAAAGGCCTCTCCTTCCCCGCCCAAAGCATCTCATCCGAGCCCAGAAGGTCCACGTAAGACAGGAGGCAGGGGCATCGTCCTCAGCTCTGCCTTCAGCTTTGCAAACAGCTAGAAATACCACCAGGCTCAGCTATTTTCCTAGACTACCTGGAGAGAAGGTACAAAAAAAGCAAAGTTACATTACGATCACTTAAAATAGACGGTCAAAGGGGCGCCCGGGTGGCTTAGTCGGTTAAGCGTCCGACTTTCGCTCAGGTCATGATCTCACGGTTTGTGGGTTCGAGCCCCGCGTCGGGCTGTGTGCTGACTGCCAGCTCAGAGCCTGGAGCCTGTTTCAGAGTCTGTGACTCTCTCTCTGACCCTCCCCTGCTCACGCTCTCTCTCTCTCTCTCTCTCTCTCTCTCCTAGAAATAAATAAAACATTAAAAAAAATTTTAAAAATAAATAAATAAATAAAATAGATGGTCAAAACAACACAAAGAATAGCTTCAGGAAGAGAAACAAAACTTCAAGTAAGAAAATACAAGTGGAGAGAAAAAGTCGTCACTGTGGTCCCTGGACAACAGGGCTGTGGATGGAATTGCATCCCCTCCAAATTCTTATGGTGAGGTTCCAACCACGGCTAACTCATGATGTGGCCTTATATGGAAATAGGGTCATTGGGAATGTCATTAGTTCAGATGAAGTCATACTAGAGTGAGCCCCGATCCAGTTTGGCTGGTGGTGTTGCAAAAAGAGGAAGTTTGCAGACCTGCACATGAGGGAGACATTATTGTGAACATGAACATGAAGGCAGAGCCTGGGTGATGCTTCCACAAACTGAATCTCACCAAAGATTTCAGGCCAAGCGCCAGGAGCCAGGAGAAGGTCAGGAACAGATTCTCCCTCCCCCCACCGCCCCCCACCTCCCAGCCAACCCCTTAATCTCAGACTCCCAGTCTCTAGAGCTGTGCCCTGATACATTTCTGTTGTCTGAGCCATTCAGTCCCTGGGGTTTTGTTCCAGCAGCTCCAGCAAACCTGTACAAGCCCCCAAAAGGTGCCCACGTGTGACTATAATTCAGACAGTAAGTGTCACAACAAAAGTAAAAACGTCATATACAAAGGCGGTAAAGATTAATGGGTGGGTGAAGATGAAGAAGGGGGCACCTCGTGGAAGTAGGAGCCGGGAGGTTGGGCAGGGGGAGCTCCCCCGCCCTTTCACTCATGGTCATTGCCAATCCAGCTGACAAGGGCCTTGCAGACGATGCTCCTTTACCGCATCCCCCCTGACTGAGGAAGGAAGGTCCCCTCTGTCGGGGCAACAGCCCAGCCAGTGAGAAACCATCACATCTCAGCCAAGGAGGAGCCGCAGGGCCTCCAGCTCTTCCTTTACTCCGCTGAACTCTTGGGAACAGCCTTCCCAAGGTCCCGGTGTCCTTGAGAGGTGCTCCTCTCCTTTCCTTGTGGACTTGCCTATAGCTTGCTTGTCCCAGATCCCAACTCTCTGTTATTCCTGAATAAACTCATTGTTGCTGTTACAATAACCGGCAGGTTTATTTTTAAGATTAACAATCGGAAATAAGAAGGTTGCAATGTCAAGAACAAAGTGAAACCGTTTTGCTTGGCTTCTTTTCCAAAACATAGAGATGTTTTCACCACCTGTTCACCCCCGTGCTCAGCTCAGGAGGGACAGGTTCTGGGCACTTAATAAGTATTTGCTGGATGAAGTAAATGAATCTTGTCTTCTACAATCTCACTAACTATGGCTTCTATGTGGCCATAGATTGTACATAGACGTTTAGACCAGAGAGAGGGTGGAATCCAATTTTGCAGTTGCACATCCAGAAACACTAAGGTATAAAAGTGGCCTTCGGGGCACCAGGGTGGCTCAGTCGACTAAGCGTCCGACTTCGGCTTAGGTCATGATCTCATGGTTTGTGGGTTTGAGCCCTGCATTGGACTCTGTGCTGACAGCCAGC